GGCTTTACGGTCGCTCTGTGGGCGCGCAGCTCTAGGCTGAGTTTCAGCCTCCCATGACGTTTCCGGGTCCATCCCTTACGTTATTTGCGGTAAGCGTTTGCTCTTCGCCGCTGGGCCTGGGGACTGCCTCGCGGAGAAGCAGGGAAGAGGGGGAACAGGAATTAACTGGCAAGTCGTGAGGTGGACGGAGAGCAGCGCGGAGTTGACTCAAAGGAAATGCCCTAGTTTCTGGCTCTCTTGCACACCAAAACGCGGCAGAACCCTTTAACCACCTGCCAGACACCTCCTTAATGGGTAAAATGCAGCCCCAGCGTGCCCCAATAGGGCTAGTGCATCTAAGCCACAACATTTCAGAGCCCGAAAGCAGAGGCAGCTGCTCCTTCAGCTGCTGCACGAGTTCCTTAAAATACGACCGCCGGCCCAGCGGAGGTCCAACAATAAAAACTGCTTCGAGAGCCAAGTCCAAGCCAGTGGAACTAAGATTATTACAACTCTAGATTTTCTATTTCATTCCAGTCCTCATAAAACACTACAGAAAAATAAGCACAGACCAAGCAGCAGGTTTGGCAGAGCAAGATTGTTTCAGCGAGGCGAGCGAGCAAAGAAGGTGCCCTGGAAACACTTGCGTGCTGCATTTTAATGGGCTGCTAAACGCGAATGTGCACTTACTCCGGGAACGCCTGGCGAGAGCTTGCAGGTTCCTCCCTCCCCTGTCGGCCCTCAGGAATATGAAAAACAGAAGGTGAGGAGCCAGCTGGTGACACACGGCACTTTCTGCGCACCGCTGCCACTGCAAAATGACTGTCCACGGTGACGCAGTTTCAAATTGAACTACGTGAGTAAGAGTTGGCTCCTTTCTTGTCACTGACATGCTAAAAGATGTTTCCACTGACTAAAACCTACTGATCTGTTTTGCACCTGCCTGGAAACATGGACATGTTTTTTGAAAAAATCAAGTCTTACACAGAAAATTGAGGTGACAACTCCCACCACCTGCTCAGTGCAATGGTTTCCCTGTGACAGGAAGGCAAGACCCTCTGCCAGCAGGGCAGAGACCTGCCTGCCAGACTTTTGGGGGCTGCCCGCCTTGAAAATCCCCTAGGAATTGCACAAATTCGATAGCTGCGCTCAAAATCCCCCCTCTCCATCTCTTCGCAGTGGGATCCTAAGGCACAAACTACCTAGCAATGGAAAATAAATCAAATGCGCCATCTCCTGGCCAGCACCCAGCAGAGCTTGAAACCAAACCCGCACACACCAGGACATGCTTCTGCAGACGTATTCATTCATTTATTTATTTATTTTATTTATTTATTTTTACAAAGGTCCACCAAGTAACACTGGGAAACGGCTGCATCCCGTGGACTTGTCGGCTCCTGCCCCCAATTTATGGAGTCCATCCTTAAACCCAGGCAGTGCAGCCCCGGTGCAAAGGCAGGAGGGCCCCTGAGCAGCCCACGTCTGAACGGGCTGCACCTCACAGTTTGTGGAGATGAACGGACGTTTGTGTGACTCACTCTTGCAGAAGCTTCCTAATTTCAGTGTGACATTTCTCTGGCAGCTACTGCACAGCTCTTGAGGCAACGGGGATGCCCGGGGAGCGGTAGGAGGCAGGCCGACCACGGGCACGCTCTAATACGGAGCCGAGATGTTGAAGTCGCAGGCTTTCCCAGGCTCTCCTCTCCCCTGTTCAGTCTGAAGGTTAATTAATGCTTGTATATTCATTTCCTCTGCCCCCTCCAATTTTGGTTTCAGCTGTAGACACATCAGCGTTGCTAAGCGTGCAACCAAAAAAAGACTCAGAGCAGCTGCAGAGGGTCAACAGCCTCTGGGTCCCGAGGAGCTGAGAGCAAGACTTGGCAAGGAGTGACAGATGCTCATCCTGTCACAGGGAAAGGCACTTCGCTCGCTGAGGACAGCCAGCTTGCCACATCCAGGCTGGGCGCCTTTTCCCAGGAAGGACAGGCCTGCCGGAGAAAGAAGGATGAAGGAAAGAACAACAGCTGGGATCTCTTTCTGGGGTGAAGAACGCAGCTCTTCCCCTTGCTCATCTGAGCATGTGTTAGACAGATGCTGAGCCCGGGGAGGAGGGGGACCTTTGCAAGGCTAGATTTCAAGAAGCAAGTTCTCTGGGAAGGTCTGCAGTGGGCCAAGTCCCACAGCCTACCAGTGAGCCAAAGCTGGCGCTCCCTGAGCTAGTGTTAGCACCAAGACAGGAGACCCAGAAGCTGCTGAAACATACTGGATTTATGAAGGTTTGAGGGTACTGCACCCTGCTAAATCTCAGAAAAAGGAGAGATTTTTACCTCTTTTTATCTTGGCTTATCACGTCTTCTCCATCATTTTCTTTCTACTGTCATAACGTGAGTGAGGTTGCTGCGTGGCTGCTCCACAAGCTGTGGGTCTGGTTTCTTGTGTTCAGTGCAAGCCCTGGAGGGAAGGAGAAGTTGGCTCTGGTTCTTCGTGCAGCTCTGAAGTGATACCGGAGTAGCACTAGTGGCTTCTAACTTCCACCATCCCTGTGGCACCAAGCAGCTGTCCCAGCATCTGTAAATAAGTGTCTGAGAGAGGTGCTTCAGCCAAGACTGGCCACTCCTCTGCTCGCTAAATCCATATCCAAAGCTTGTTGGTAATCTGCGCAAAGAGCCCGGCTCGTGCTGGAACTGGAGGGCTCTCCACTTCCACACTGTGAGCAAGTCATTTCTGCTGGTGTAGGACGAGGTTGTCAGATGGGAGCCCAGGCTCAGAGTGTGCTGATGGGACCACCCCAGCTTCGGGGAGGGATTTGGGGCTTACCAACACCTTCAGGCCAGGCCGGCCGATAGTGGCGTGCAGGCACCACGCTGTGCACTCCACTCACGGAGCTCTCCAGTCCCCATGGTGCAGCTTTTCCCGCTGGCAGGAGCTAAGACTTAGAGGGAAGGATATACTTGCAAAGCTGAAGGTAAAAGCTCTGTAAGGAGCAGCCAGTTTTTAGCCCTGTTGCTTTAACATCTCATCAGTCAGGAGTTTCACAATTGTTTTCCAGTTTTCAAGCCCAAGAAACATTGCTTCATAGCCTCCCCAGGCCGCAGGGATGCTTGGATTGACAGACGCAAGCCCGCTGCTGCCAAAGGCTCCCTGAGCCTGCGAGTTTGCAGAAGTTGCTACCGGGGCAGTGTCGCCGGTGTGGGCTCAGCCCTGCTGAGCGTGACGCCTGCCTGCTCTCCAAGGACAAACGCAGGAGAGCAGGTCGAGGCCAGCACATGCCCTACACGGGGCTGTCCCTACCCTGAGGGGCAACAAGCAAGCGCAGTTGCAGTCTGAGAGTTACCTCTTTTTGTGTGTCTAACTCCCAGCAGGGAGCAGTGTGAACACAGCAGATTTCCCAGGTTGGAGAAGCAACATTAAGCAGGGTTCGTAAAGGAGCTGAACGAATTTCTCAGCCTCCAGCAGAACATTAACCCCACAATACAAAAGCAGTGAATGGCAAGAAGTTGAATTTTTTTCTTTAGACACCAGCATGTTTCTCATCAGAACCTTTTCCAAGCATTCACAGCATCAGCAGTTAAGGATATTCTTTACAGTGGGGAAAATCAGAGATAAGAAAACTATTAATCTCCAACTTCCATGCAAATAAACAAAGTGCCTTGCAAACATGGGAAGGAATGAAGAGCACCAGATTTCCAATGCAAAGGCAGCATGTGATAACTAGCTCTGTGCCTGGGAGCCAAGATGCTGCTGATATGTTCCCAAAGCTGCTGAGATCCCTGCACGGTCTGTACTGTACAAATGCTGGCAAGTTAAACCATCAACTAAAATGAATCCCAACAACATCAATACCAATCAGGCTGGAAGAAGAGTTGGCTCGCAGCGTTACTCGCAGGGCTGCGAGTGGCCATTCTAACCCTTTCTTTGCGCTTGGCACAGAAACGAGCCTAGGGTGAAGGGATCCAAAACCGCACAGAAAGTTTGTTTTTCACGTGGTAGTGCTTGTCGCAAAGCAGTTTAACTGACCCCTTTTTCAGTTAGGTACATGCATCTGACAAATACACCAGCTGAGGTCAGTAGTGATTCAAAGCCCAAGAACTATAAAATACTCATCTGCTCCTAGAGCTTTCACACTGGTATCCGCTTGAGGCCCTGATCATTTCTCATCACATATTCAGGCTGCCTCAACCCTCCCAGCCCGAGAGCAAAGAGCCAAAATTGGCTTCTGTTCAAAGCTCCTGTGGCAGTTTGAGGAAGAATGGGGGCTTAGGGCAATGCTGACATCAAACTGGGACTTGAGGCTTTGAAATCCAGACAGCCTCCATCCCCTCCTCAGTGCTGGGGAAACCGCCTGCCTCAGCACAACCGTTAGTCATTTCTCAGGAAACGCCCCTAGGATTTCAGTTTTGCTACCACCCCTGCTCGAAAGTGAGGGTGAGGGCAGCGCTGTGCCTTTAACCCAGGGCAGCTGGGCACGAGGAGCGAGAAATGAAACGCCAGGGAAAGGCTCGTGTGCCAGCGAGCCGGGTGCTGCTGTCGGAGCAGGGCAGCAGGAAGGACAGGGCGCCGCAGCAAACTCGTGTCTCGTTTACTCCGTCTCCGCTGACTTACTGCAAGAACAAAGCTGGCGGCAGCAGAGCGATTGCTTCTTCTGTAGAAAAGGCCCTGGCTGCTGCTGTGACCTTGCAACTCCTGAAGCAGAAGGCTAAAAACTAAACAAGAGAGACAAATGCCTTGTCTGCCTCGCTTCTGAATGGGGAAAGCAGAATAAGGGCCAGAAATGCTGCTGAGACGGATCTTTTCGACGTACCTGCTCATACCTGGCACAGTGCAGGTCACCCAACATGACACCCATGTGATCGAGTTGTTATCTGAGATTTCAGTAGCCGCTGTTCTCGGACCCAGAGCAGAATTACAGGGACTATTTTTTCATGCTGTAATTTAACTCCATAAAGTAATCTAACCTGAACAGAGCCATGACTCAAGGCTTGCCGAGCATCCTTGACCTCAGAACTGTGTTTTCTCCACAGGGATTTGCAGGCATATGGAAATGCAAGACCAGCAATGGAGGTAGAGTCCACCACATACACTGACTTTATTTCCTGTGATCGGGCTGGTCGGAGGAACGCTGTCCACGATATCCAAGGAGATGCGACTGCTATCAGCATGCGCAAGCTGACAGGGGACATAAGTGACCTCTCCATTGAAGGAGCAGGTGAGCTGCCATGGACACCAGTAAACATCTCTATCTATAAAAATGCCTTGAAACATGTTACCCTAGTTGTACCCCTTTAACGCCCATAATAGAGCCAAGCATAAATTAGAGCTCTTCTAACAGCGCAATTTGGCTAATCACTACCATGTCCTAAAGATGTTCCAGGAGCACTTACAAGTTGCATTGCTACCATGTCCTAAAGGTGTTCCAGGAGCACTTACAAGTTGCATTTACAGGTTAGACAGGGTGAGCACATCCCTGCTTTGAAAGGGATTATTGTTGTAGGACTGCTGAATCCACGCACCTTGCAGTCATTTAAAATTCTTGCAGCTCCCTTACACCTCCCAGGGCTCCGTCCCAACGTCACCACCTATTCTGTTTGAGAAGTGCTTGTACCCTGGGGCCATGAAAGGAGAACCTGATACTCTTAGGCCAAATATCTGGTCACAGGAAGCTCTTCAGCTGGCAATCTGAGTAAAATCAGCCTGTAGCAATTATTGATCACTTCTGTCCTCAGCAGAGTGTAACCGTACTTTCTTCCCAATCCTCCCTTCTGCAGAAAGCCAAGCAGATGCCACTTCTTCCGAGAAGGACCCTGGAGCAAGACCAAAGGGGCAAGACAACAGCCCCTCCCCATGAGGGCATGCAGGGGGTGGGATGGGGTAGGAGGAGGGACTTGCTGTAGACCTTAAACAAGAATTTACTATTGAATCTGCAGACGAAAGCCAACATGGAAGCACAAGTTCTCTGTCAAATGCCGCTGCTGCAACCGTTTGGTTCAGAGAGCTGCAGGATGCTGTGCAAGGACTGGCACCTCCAAAAGACTTCTGCTCCCACCCCTAACAACTTAGAACAACACTGCAGTGGTTGTAGTGGTATGAGCCATTCTCAAGATGCCTTAGCTGCAATTTTCCTCTATAGGAAAACACAATTTCAGTAATAATACACACAGACTTTCCTGTCCAAGGTACCTTCTTACTTCGTAAATTTAGACTATTATTTATTCTCTATTTCCATAGATTAGGAGCTTAGACTTTTGGGGTTTTCTAAGCATCACCCTCATTCTGCATCTTAGATCTGAACTGGCCTCTGGACTGTCCGCGTAGCCCCTAGTCACGGTGGGCAGTGGGGAAGGGACCCGGCCAGTCCCACAGTGTTCATGTCAAGCACCACTCACCTGTGCTGCTGCCACGTAGCGATCAGAAAAGGACCAAAGCGCGGACACGTGTGGACGAGCTCCACCTACAGACCCAGCAGCATCAGCCACAGGCATCTTTTTCTTTGGGTTTTAGCATTTTAAGGTATTGTTAAGGGGAGGGGAGAACAATTTTGCTGTTTTGACTGTTGAAATTGAGGCTTACCCATGCAAACTGTTAGCCGAGAAGTATTTATCTCTGGAAAGATCTCACACCGTTCTCTTTTAGGAGATGTTTTGTGTTAAAGATGGTTTGATAAAACTATATAAGCTGTTGGAATAAATAACACACAGCCTTCAAGTATTGAAGTTGAAGGTGTTTTTCTGCATGGATCTCTCTTCTTCCTCAATTTTGCCTTATAACAGGGTGAGCTGCAGAGAGGCTACATCAGTTTATGCTAAAGGGAGATAGGGAACTGCGATACAAGAGAGTCACTTCTGTTCGCTTCCATGAAACCCTCAATATTTGCAGCATCCTGTCGGAAGCAGATCTAAAGCAAGGCCAGAGAATGCTGAAAGTCTGCCCCGACTTGCCCCAGGTTCTTCTCTCACAGGTGTTAAATTTACATGTCAGAGTGCTGCTCCTCCAGATTACTACCCTCTAAGTCAAGCTCAGTAAAGCTGGCTTAGGGCTCGGCAGCGGAAGCAGTGCTGGTGGGGAGAGGTGTCCTCTCACTCTGCAGCACAAAGCTCGAGGACAGCAGTACAATTCCCAACCTCAAAGAGAAACTATTCAGCCAGAGCTTTGGAAGACGATTACAGCCCAGCTGGGATCTACTGCCGAAGCAGTCGGACAGACTGAGGCAGGGGCCAGGCAGAGCTGGCCTGACAAATATTCTCCAGTAGTGACACAAGGACAAACATCTCCTTGACAGGCAGGGAAAGGACGGAATGTTACAAGTTTGAGATTTATCAAAGAAAACAAGGCCATAAATAAGCAGAGGAGTTGCTGCCAGACAGAGGGAGAATTGTCTGTGGGCCTCTGAGAGGTGATGGCTGCAGAGCCAGGACAGAGATGTATATAGTTCTGTCCCTCACAGGAAACAAGAATTTGGCAGCCAGGTAGAAGCTACATCTGCTTTTTTGGCAACTACAAACAAACTCAGCTCCTCGAGCTGCTGGATACTATTGCCACTCAGTTCCCAAACAGCATCCAAAAGCCTGCTCCCATTTCTCCACATTCAGGGACAAAACAGCAGGTACCTCCCAGTTTTGGCTGACTGCACAGTTTGGTTTTCAAGCCCCACTTCCAGCTCTCCTCACTTCCACTAAGCAGTATTTTTGGCTCACACACAAGAAGGAAGCTGAAAGGCAGTGCAGAGGGATGGTGCATCACACAAGACCTCAAGCAGTCAAATGCAGGCTAATCTTAGGTCTCCCTGGTCAGAATGCATCTGCCCCGAAATTATATTTAGCCAGGACATTAACAACCTGTTTGCCAGCTAGCCTTAGAGGACAGGCGAGAGGCATCAGGTTTCCCCTGCAAAAGAGCCAAGTCAGCTGCCATCACTGATTGTGCTGAGGGACCAAGGGCATCAGATTAATCCAGTAACATCCTGACTTGCAAAGCTGCTGAGCACGCAGGTGTTCTGAGCCTTTGATTTCAGTGGAAAATGCAAGCATTCAAGACCTCCCAAAACTAACCACACAGTAAATATCTAAAAGCCTTTCAGAAACCATCTCCTGCCTGAGTCAATACTAGTCTAACAAGCATGCAGCTCAGAGATCGTACCATTTCGGACTCTTTGTATCAACCAATTGTCCAAACCTCAGGAGAGGTGGGGAAAATCATGTAAACTATTTTTGATACATGCCAGAAGAGGTCACAGCACACAGTAATAATGCTGCCACTTCTAGCAGTGATACATGCATTACTTTGATTACTGAAGGAAAAGCGACACGTGAGGTTGGAACAACTTGCATCAGTAAGCCCAGTTTGTAAGTTCAGCAAGGGAGCGTGGGTATCTTCCCCCTTGCTTGCCCAGCATTAACTTTCAAAGTGCTCTGGCCTGGTAACAGGAGAAGGCAGGAACTGGGCTGCCAAAGCACTGTATCACACCTACCTATTACCCTCTTGCCATAGCAGGGGTATGACGGGTCACACTGCAGATTATGGACTGTCATATCCAGACGGCATCCCTTGAACACAGAGGCAAGATTTCTGTTTTAATATAAATTTGTTATTTTATTAAACAGGATTAACAATCAACTGTCCAGAATCCAAACAAGCAGCTGTTCCAAAAAAGACAACTTTCAGAGAAAAATTATCCAAAAAACCTAGGTCTAACAGCAACCACGTTCTTAAAAGTGATGACTTATCATTTGCTTTATAAAAAGTAACAAATTCACTCTCTCAAATCTATATATACATATTGATGTATGTATGCACCACGTATTTCAGAGATGAGTATTTCACTCACTTAGAAGAAAAATATGGAAGCCCAAAAAGAATGGAAGTATTCCCAGCACTAGATCATTGCTGGTCGAGACTGGAGCAGTCAGTCTCGGACACTATCTGTGGCAACAGTGACCACAGCCCTTTGTCAAAGGCAACTTTTTGGTATAGAATCTTTGGAGCACGCATCTTTGCAGACACCTGGGATATTAAAGCACACCACACACCTACACTCCTTCCTCAAACATGTTGAAGAGCTCTTTGACAGTAGGAAAATTACAGGCTTTTCTCTAGATGCATGACTCTATTGCATATTAAGTGAAAATACTATAACGCACCAAAATTGCTTAGGAATTTTGGTGAATATTTCCTGAAAAATTCTTCACCAAACTGAAGATCTGACTTCTAGCCAGTGTTGTGGTTACATGAGAGAAGCAATTCAGATGGGACCCAAGTCAATATTTGATACTGGGCCCTAGCACATTAATTACTCATTTAGTTTTAACGCTGCCTAAAGATTACCTCAAGTCAGAAAGAGGGCAGCCTGGTTAAACAGGCAATCACATGTTTGTAAGTCCTAAACAAAGATACAGGAAGAGCAAAATGCAGCTCACAGGAATTCTCCAGGCTGAGTACAGAACTGGGGGAAGTCCCAGAAGGCAGCTTGTAGCCCCAAATGGTAAAAGTATGCTCCATGCATCCTATGCATGTGTGAGCATGTTCATGAGCTGCTGTGAACACAGCTGGAGCCCTGAGCCCAAGGTTTGTGCTTCTGTGGCAGTGACATTGTAAGGCCTGATACACAGAGCTCCTTATCCAAGAAAGGATTGGGGGGGGGGGGCAGGGGGAAGGTAGTAGTATTTAAATGCCTGTGTACTGATAAGTGCGCAGCTTCTAGCTTATTCTTGATCCAGTCTTCTTAGTACAAGACTAGGCATAGGGAAATACAGTTGTGGCCAAACTTTCCTATCGGCATAAACCGACAGGAATAAACCCCTGGGAATAAACCTCTGTTTCTGAGCCACCTGCTTACTCCCTTTTAGGGTTAGCTCACCTTTTCCCTAGAAAGGTGAAGGTTAACTCTGGCCACAGTCACAGTTAAAGGCAGTTATTTCTGTACTGCAGACAAGGGCTAAGGCAGATCAGCGGGGCACTACAGCTAAAGCAGAGGAAGAGAAAACAAAACAAAACAAAAAATCAGGGAAGGTTCTTCTGTTCTCATTTACTCTACAAATAAATTGGTAGATGAAGGGAAGTCAGGCCAGGAAGCAGTTTTAGTCTGCTTGTGCAACAGCAATATAGGAAGCTTGATACCCATTTGGGAGCGGTATGGTATGTAGGGGGTGATAGGTGGGCTAGATCAGGCTAGATGGTAGCCTGATTCTGCCTAGGACCATATAGGTTAAAACAGATAGAGACCGACTCTGGGCACCTTTCTCCTGGTGCTCCCACCAGCACAGAGATGAGTCAACCAAGAAGGCCACTGCTCCGTGCTGACTGGTAGAGCTGCATCAAGATGTACTGGGGACCATCCCATAGGCTTCATACAGTGTATTGAGAAGTTCCTGCTTTTCTTTCTCAGGTAAGAAGCTGGACTGAGCTGCATTGATGTTCTGGGGAGGCAGAGGAGGAACAGAAAGGAGATACTGAGAAACATCAGACATGAATACGTGGTTGTACATATCCAAACATCTGTCTCGGCATCAACGAGTGAGGGAGGGCGTATCATTTCCATTCCTAGATACATTTCCATGGCCTCATTTTACAAAACAACTGCTCTGACACACCACTAGCACCAATCCTAAGAGGGAGGAGGCAGCCACAAAGAGAAGGTTTTCAAAGGCTTCAGAGTTTTTGGGACATGCACTTTAGAGCCATTCCTGCACTCCAGGCTTCCCTTTGGATAAGAGGCCTTTCACAACAGTTGGTGGCAGCAGCCTGATATGCTGCTGCTGTGACAAAGCTGCCTCGCTATGCGATTTAACATGCTTGTCTCTCTTGTGCAGGGACATTTCTTTTATTATACAGAAACAGCCTGGCTTCTGCAAGAGCAGAAAAGAACAGCTGGCAGAAAAGCAGCTGGACCCAAGGTGGCAGAGTTCAGAGCTGTCCCCTGTTCCTCTTCCCAGACTCAGGGCATAAGTCATGTCTACAGGAAAGAGGGACCCCGTTGTTCCTTCAGCAAGAGCTCAGAGCAGGACTAACGCTCTCTTGTAAAGCGTATCCTGAATTTCCAATTCCAAGCAAAGATTACCAGACAGTAGCTAAGATCACAGATGCTCTATGGAGATACGTAAGTGAAAGCTATCAAATCAGCATGGCTCTGATGCTAACCGGGAAAGCTTTACTTGGTACCCAGATAAGACTGTAGGATAGAATAAGTGCTGGGAGTTTGATTTAGGTAAGCGATTAGAGCCAGTTTTTAGGATATGTTGAGGCCACGAATGACTGCGTGTGCCAAAGCTGAAGCCAGCAGTCACTTGGCTTTCAGTTCAGTTGTATGTTAGTCATACCATGATTGTTGCGTACTCATGGTGTATGTGGAAAAACCACAAGTGCTTTTGCACGTGCTGAATCCTAACTAATTTTTGGGCCAGGGCTTCAAATCACCTACCTGCAAATCCAAATCCAGAAAAAGAAAAAAATAAAAGAAAAGGGAAAAGAAAAGGAAAGGAAAAAGTAACAAGCACCTTCCTTCCCTCCTGCTCAGATCTGTCTTGAGAACTGCAGTGGGTACTTTTCACTCTAACCTGTTCTCAGTAAAGCCCAAAGCAGTCAGCCCAAGACATGTGAGTAATGTCTTTAGAGACCACACTGCACAAAGCAGCCTTCGGATCCCCTCCTGCTCTCTGCATTTATACCAGCTGCTGACTACATCCTGCAGTGCTCCTACCGTTCCCCCTTTAGGGGCTATTCTCAGCTGATGCCTGGTGCTTACATGAAAAATGCATGATTTGCTCACTTCCAGTGAAAAACTCTTCGGCTTATAAAGAAAAAAAAGCTGATTGTTCTGGGCTGCACTAGGACATCTTCAGAGCTTCCAGCTGAGGCCAACTTACCACTCTCTTGAACTCCTCTTCAGTAAAGCCCATGTACTCCTTTGCTATGCTGTAATCCTTGTCAATAGTGGAGTTAAAGATGAGGGGGTCATCAGTGCTTATGGAATAGTTAGCTTGATCCTTCCTAAATCTGTAAGAAAGCAGAGATTAAAATGGGGTAAATACTGGATGTGGCACTGTTCACACACTTCTCAGGATAAAAACACAGTAAAAACAAAAAAACACCTAGCTGTCCACGCAGCTTATATTGCTGGACACAAACACACTGCTCAGCTTGTCTCACCACTGCTCTTCACTGATCTACTTCGTCAGCAGAGTGACGAGCAGGGTGTCAGGGATGTCTGTTGCTTAAAGGTCCAACCACCTCGGCTTTTGTGCACAAACTAAAGCTAACGCCCAGTGTGAAGCAGCTGGAGCTCTGGATGCCCAGCAGCCCCGAGCAGGGCTGGAACAGGATGGGAAGACCTCACACTACAGGGGCTGCACGCTTACCCCAGCTACATAGGATTCTTTGTGGGGAAGAACAAGAAAGTACCATATTCTCGTAAGTGGTTAGATTTGTGTTTCCCTTGCAAAGCAATAAAGTGGCTATAAATAACTGGGATTTGGCTGGGTTACTTTAAGATTATACATTATTTAAATGCCTTACTGTGCTACTGGGTGTTTCCTAAAGTCCGGAAGACACGCTCCAGTAAGATAACTGGACCAAGGGCAGGCCTGTTTGTGGGAGTTAAAACAAAGAAAAAAACAGAATCAGCCATACAGATATGAAATACTGCTGGGTATGCAGATAGCTAAGCGTGCTGGTAAAGCGAGATGTAGGTTTACAACAGCTATGTTTGCTGCTATCCCTCAGCCCCTCTCTGAGCTGGCAAGACTATGCACATCCCGAATGACGGATGAGAGGAATCTATAGCCTCTGCTACAGTGAGCGTGCAAGGGCTGGTAGGACATTTCCCACTGCCAGTCAACCACTGGTGGTCTATGGACTACAGCTAAGAAACCGCTAGAATAAGAAAAAAAAAAGAAAGAAAGAAAGAAAGAAAGAAAAGAAAGAAAAATGAACAGGAACATTTCTCTCTGCTACACAATTCCTGCAAGCTGATATGAGCCCCAGGGCTTCACGCAGCAAAGATCCCAACATGTCACCAGGTGTCACTGCATTTCTGTTAGGAGCTTTGGGCATCTGAGTTCAACAAAAGTGTTGTCAAAGACGTGGTCAGCCCTTGGGCACCCCGTACTCGGGGTGCTTGGCTGAAGCACAGACCAAACAAGGGCCAATTTTCCACCTTGAGACATCAGATACCTGGCTGTCACTCCCACAGAATACATCCTTACCTCAAAATGCATCTTTGTTCTCAGCAGCTCCTTATAAAGCTCGGGATCTTCTAGAACGTGGTAGCCATGGCCAATGCGCTCGGCCTTCAGGAGGTAAACTGCCTACAGAGCATGGAAAAACAGCCTCTGAGCACAAGCTGAGCTCCCACCTGGTCCAAGAGGACCCTGCCCCACCAGGACTGCAGCCCATATGTCTGAAATAGCTCCCAGGAGATCTTTTTCCGAGTTGTCAGAGCTAGATTTCTGTCTGGGTCCCAGATTTCTGCTCCTTTATGAATACAGAAAGGACCTGGGCTTCTCCCTCTGCAAAATACTAATGAGTAAGGGGCTCTTCCTGCCCCTGCTGCTCATCTTACAACACAAGGATGCCCCAGCACCCTGCTGATCTCCGCTCTGTCCTTGGCCAGGATCTCCTCTCACCTCCTTGATCATGGCAGCTGGTCCAGCTTCCCCAGCATGGACTGTTCGATGAATGCCGCATCTTTCAGCTTCCTGAAAAGTAAGACAGGAAACATCTCTCTCCAATCACACAAAGCAAGGGCAGCAAACTACTCTCGAGAGATACCTTTTCCACTGACTACCACCCCACTGGCATAGCAAGCAAGATCAACAGGGCTCTGGGCTAAGAGCTCCCAAACTCCACACCCTGTGAGAGTTGCATGCTCCCAGGCTGGGACTGTGCCACAGCACAGGCTAAAAGAGGAGAGACCAGTAACACCACAAGCAGAGAAACTTAGAAAGCCTGGTTACCTTCCAGATGGAGCCAAGCCAGACTTCTCCAGGGTCTTTTAATAAACACTAAGCTCACTGCTGTCTCCTCTCCAGAGAGCAACAAACTTGAAGCTCTCTTTCTTCCACCCACTTGCCTTTATTCATGAAACTTGTAGGAATTCCTGTCTTTGCAACTTCTACCCTTTTGGCCAACTTCAGCCAAGTCTGATAGAGAATTTAAAAGCTACTGGGGTACAGAGAAAGCAACACCCAGAGCCCGCATGCCTCACTTCCACGAGGGGCTGGGGACAAGCCAACGCAGCCAGCTCTGTGGCCGGGAATGCTCTGCAGACTCCAGCAAGGAGGGTTTGGTGTGTTTCGAGCCGCTCTCCACGGCTGTCCTGACAAACCCCTGGGGACGCTTCCTCTGCCCCCTCACCAGAGACTGCCTGGGCCTTTGGAAGCTGAGCTCCCTCCTGCCACGGCCTCAGGGGAAGCCTGGCACCTGCCTTGCTGGAGAAAGGCCACGCAGCTGGCAGCTGTGAGCAAGCTGCAGCCCCAGCTTGCATCAGACAGGCTTCCCAGACACTCCTTCAGGGCTTTTTATTCATGTTTTTTTCAGTTACTGGATGCCCCCAGAAGAGTCCTGCACATATCTACCTGCAAGGCAGCCTGTGCTCCCTGCGTTCCAGGGAAGGCTGATTTTTCCCCAGCAGCTGACGTTTTGTCATTTTCATTATTTCAGCGACAAAATCCTTCTGGCCAAAGCATCGGACAAGGACTAGAGAGAAAGACTCACACCAGCACAGAGATTTTCTGCTTGTTTTCAGGAAATTCTCCTCCCCCGCACCCAAGACAGCGATCCCTAAATATCGCAAAAGGAGCCAGGAGCAGAGACGTAAGGGAAAGGGTTAGGAACAGCACACGCAACGTGATCCTTCACTGCATACCTCTCAAACTCTGGAAATCTGACTCCTTGAGCTGTCCCTGTCGTTTGCATCCAGGAGGGAGCTCGTGTTTAATGGCTGGCTACAGACACATCCTCCCCAGAGGGATTTTTTTCAATCCATTTGTGTTTTTGGCTTCCATATCATTACATGCTTACAACAAAGACAGCAAAGTACATCTGTATGCTGTGCCACAAACACTTTTTGTGTCTGAGAGCTGCTACCTGACAGCATTCCTTGCCTTCTCCTCCAAGGATCATTGCCTCCTCTCTCCTCGGACACTGCTGTCTCCTAACTCCTTAGCTGTATTTTTTTCCTCTGGTCCTCCTTTTCCTCCAAGGATCATTGCCTCCTCTCTCCTCGGACACTGCTGTCTCCTAACTCCTTAGCTATATTTTTTTCCTCTGGTCCTCCTCTGCAGCCAGCATACACAGTCAAGTTTTCACTGTTATCTGTTATTTCCCCCCTAGTGGCAACCCCCAAAAGCTCCCAGGTAGAACACGGCCACCCAGGGACTCCAGCTCAAGGGAGACATCTGGTCATGTCATTACAAGTCTCTCCGGTTCCCTCAGATATCTTACATAGCCCGTAGATCACAACGGCAGGACTTACAGGGATGCATTTTACTGCCACGAAGGCCAAGAGGGGCTGACGGACTGGAATGGGGTTTCTTTCAGTATCTAAGAGCCTTAATGAGCCACTGGAATAGCAACAAGAATCTATTCTTAAGACTGCGAAGTCTGAGCTGGGGTACCTCGTGCATAGGCAGGATAGGATGAAACTTCCTGCCCATCAGTTAATAAGATAAATAATAAAACCCTGTTAAGATACTCGCATAACAGCTTATGACTGCTCAGTTCATCTTGTATAACACAGCATAGCAATACAGATAGACCTTACAGTGGCTGCAGCTGCTCATACTTTAGAGCAAGGAGATTTCAGTACAGCTGGAAGACCGAGAGATGTCAGTCAGCACCACGTCAGCTTTCAGTGCCTTGCTGCGAGGTGATGGTAAATGAATAAACACCACAGTAAAGACAGCAACATTAAGTATTTACAGGAAAATACAGGTGTTTGAGGCCAATCAGGAATAACGTTCAGTTCTTCCCCATGTCCTCAGATTCACGTCTGTGTTAAGGTGCTTCCGCTGCAGGCTACAGTAGTATGGACCCCAAGAAAACCCCCTACCGCTTCAGCCCTGCACACAGTTTTCAAATCATGACTCTTTCAAGCAGTGATCACGCACAATCTCACCTCTCACTCATCCGCAGGAGCCGCTTCTATAACCAACAACGCTACAAACTTAAATTCCTACCAGGGAGAGGAGAGAGGCACGATTTTTTCCCCTTAAGCTGCCATAAAGCTCCGAGATCTTGTGAAATCTCAAATCAGCTTCCTGAAGTCATTTCAATGCTTCATTTGAGATGATTGGATAAAGCAAAAGAACTACAAACACTCAACTTATTCTATATTGTTTAGGTGACTTCCGTTAGTTGAAGACTGGAAAGACTAGTCTGTTGCATATTTAGCTGCCGTTCCACAGAGCACCACGAGCAAACCCCGTCTAACAGGAATCAGAGGCACCTATGTAGAGAGGAACGCAAGCTCCGCACCCTATGTTTGACATTTGGCTTTGCTCCGGGGTAGCGCTCTGAGCTCTAGCTCCAACGACATGCTTAAGCAAGGATGCCTGCCGTTAATCATTTAGAAATATAAACAAAGTAATGCTTCTGCTGTTTAACAGAATACTTTTAATAATCGCAAAGACTTTTTAAGCTCTACCAGCTGTTTGGGGTCTGAATAAAGCACTGCATGCCCCCTACTGAGGAAGAACTGAAGGGTTATAATTTCTTATCACTTCTTTTAAGAAGCTTATTTGACAAACCTCGTAAGCTTTCCTATGCTCAGAAGAGGTGTCCACCTTCAGTGACTCATCCCCAGCCAGGTCTATGGCTACCACAGAGTTGTTTCGATACTTCTTACAGAGCTCCACCACCTCTGGAGACCAGCCTGGAAGAGATGGCATCAAGATTCAGGAGGAAGCATTCACAAGAGTCACGATCCAAGAACGTTTCTAAACCCACTTTGGACACACAACTAGAATGCTAGAGCTGTTCTCTTTGGCGGTTTCTAAAATTTGACACTCAAAGAAAAAAGTTAACAAAATTCTAGAAAGATGTGCCATCTTCAGCCAAATAAAAGCTGCACGCTGACTAGCCCACTAAAGATCAAAGGGAATATAGTGCATTTACTGGCTATAAAACTGCTCTCATCGTGTTTTTCTCTTCCAAAAAAATAAAGTTAGAAGTGCCTGACTGCTGCAGTTGGCCCAAGGTAAGCTGAACTGGACAGAGATCGCTCTTCAGAGCAACATGCGGTAACATGCTGTTTGAGGGAGGAGTCCCTCAAATCATTCCTGAGCTTTCACACAGTCACAAGCCGGGCAAGGAGAGGCAAAAGGGAAGAAGTGGCGTGTCAGAATTGTTTTAACGTGGAATGATTTGGGTTGGAAGAGATCTCTGGAGGTCCTCTATACAATCATGCTAGACTGCCCCAGACAAGATGATAGATGACACGTCTGGTAGAAAGGGCCACCTGGAAGAGTGATCTTTAATGCTCACAAAGTATTGTAACTTCATGGCTTCAGCAAGAACAAGAGTAATAAGTGCCCAACAACTACTTCAGAGTTATCTCTGATCAGGATAGAGCACGATCTCTAAGAAAGGAGATGGCATCTCTTAGCTGATACAGCACTTACCCTTAGCAAAAAGGCCAAGAGGCAGAGATAAACTCTAGTGTTAATAATTAACAGGCACCTGTTATGCACACGATTCAGAAGTCCTATTAACGTATAAGAAAATGCATACAATTTCATCTTCTTCATCAGTTTCATACTTGTCAGGTTAGAGCCATTATTTTATTGACAAGTTTAACATGATCCAGTTCCAACTAGCATTTCCGCCTTTCTGTCAACACTTCATAAATTGAAAGGTGGCTTCTCACTGCGCAGCGTGTCCCACATGCTGGCACTAAAGACTCTTGTGTCAAGCACATCACTGACTCCAGGTAAGAGTCTGTGCCCTGGGATCACACAATACAGGCATGAAAATGCAAATTCAGCTGTTTGCAAGAGCAATTCCTACTGCTGTGCAAGTGCACGCTACATGTGCAGTGGGACGCTGCAGCTGGTTTCTGCATTTATTACTTCCGTGTTTGCAGGAACTGTAACTGCAGGCACAAGTGTGAAGCACACACAGTTGTCTAGTTTCTACAAACAAGGAAAGAAGTCCTTTTCTTAGAAGCTGGAAATCCAAAGGTCAAGTTTTCAAACTATTGTTTGGTATTGATTGTGCAAAGCTGAAAAGAGGAACCACCCTCGAATCGTCCAGTTTCCAGGAACGGAGTTTTTCAAATTTCTGGACACAAGTTAACTACATACTCATTAGCAAATCTTTTCACCATCTACCCTATTAAGGCTACCTGAAACTTGTGAGGATATGAAACCATATATAAAACCTTCATTCCCGAAAGGCAGCTACTGTAATACAAACTCACTCTGACTGCGTTTTTCCCTAGATAAAAATGTTCACAGGACTCATCAGCCCGGTGAAACACAGGAAATTGGTTTTGCCCATTTTGGATAATAGCGCCAGTTCCTGAAGAAGTTCAGAGCTGCCGATTTTATCAAATATCCTTAATAAGTTACTTATGTATATTTCACTTGTGTTTTGAGCTGAAATCAGCAGAGTTCACAACCAGCAATTCTTTGGCGAACCCACATTAAGACCAACTAAGGCAAATACTGCTGCAGATGCGTCATCTCCAGCTGGGAAGGTTTCATTTCTCCAGCTCCATAGGAAGTGCTAGACTTCGTGCTTGTTCCTCCTCTGGTGACCATTTGTTCCCATGCCCTTACCCCACGCAGCATCCTCTGAAAGACCCAGGGAACATCCTGGCAGCCACTGCCGTCAGCCCAGCGGCCGCTTTTGGTCTCCCCTTTGAAAGCAGCTTCAAGTGGCTTGAGGAAAGCCCCAGCCCTCAGGCAGGGAGCGAGGTACTAGCAGAAACCACATCTCCCGCAGCAGAGGAGCGGAGAACTCTTTGTCTCTTTAGCGAGACCCTTTAGCTAGGTCTTCAGATACTGGTTGCGTCAGCAGTTCCTCCCTTTCACATCCAGCTGACCCTTTCCTCATCGTCAGAGGGCACAAAGCCCCTGACTGAGATAAGCTCCTTCGTTCCCAGCCCCATCCGCCCTGCGCAAAGCCCAGCAGTCACTGCTTGCCCACGGCACCGGTCCCGCGGGCAAACCAGAGCCACGTGACCGGCGCCGTCCCAGCGTTTCTGCGGGGACCTGACCCCAAGGGCTCTCACACACACCCAACAAGTCAGGAAAGGGGGAGCAGAGCAGCGGGTGGGCTGCAATACGTTACTTGGCATATGGCGCATGCAGCATAGAATAGACCTGACTTTGATGCGGAAATCCCTTTCTCCATCCTGCAGTCCCTGATTAACGAGGCTAACAACTTCATCCGGAGTGAGGTCTCCCCTGCAGGAGGAGGAGAGAAAAACAAAAACACACAGCAGTCAGCAACAGCCCAGCAGGGCCCGGCGCTGGAAACGCAGCGGGCAGGAGCTGCAGGCC